GACATTCCCAAACTCTGCTTCAGTGAAGCATTTGCAGTTTTCCCTTAAGATAACATGCATACACAATAAAGAGACAACAGTACCTCACAAGGTGTTAAAAGTACACATTTTCAGACAAACTACTGTGAAGTATTGGCGATCTTGCTTTAAGATAGCATGCATGCATACATGTCAAGACTCCGTCCACGTGTACATTATAACGCAATCCTAGATCAATTTGACCTCCGTACCAAAATACCTTAAACGATGGACCTTATTGTTACCTTGCCTGACAATCGGCATTAAGGGGAGAACAGAACGACAGGTCGGCTCGGAGTCTGTATACGGTGTTTTATCTATGTTAAACTGCGGCTTTGTATCTAAGTGGGCTGTCACTGTAAATATATGCACGGACATATACACATCCACACACACGTGCATTAACGTCTCCCTATCAGTGCAATACTCTTTAATGGCTTTGAAGCTAATGTCGTTTCACTTCACCTGAATCAGAGGTGATTCCGGTTGAATTCAGTGATTTGGTACGTCACTTTTGAAAACATTGTATAATAATTCATTGTACTTTATATTTGTCATTCAATGAGCTGTGGGGTAGCGTTCACTTGTTACGTTGAAATCCCGGGTTCGATTCCCCACATGGGTGTTCGATTCCCTCCCATCAGTCGGGCTTGATAACATGAAAGGGACAGTGGTGATTGAATGACTGGAGATCGAACTGGCCATCTACAGCCCGTTGGTCGGAGCTTGTTCTCTCCCCCTAATTACACTCGTTTTATCAAAGAGAGCTTGTGCCAATACGTTCTAAGATTTATCATTAATGAGAGAGTGAGTAGGATTCTAAGCCGTTTTCAACAATATTCCAGCAATGTTACGGAAGGGTACACTTGAAAGGGACATCAGACTTTGGTTGTTTGTTTTATTTGCTTGTTGTTTAAAGCGCACCCATCAATATACCAGTTATGTCCATTGTATGCATACGGGAGATCGAGCCCCGGTCTCAGGGTACCAGAGAACACATTAACAACTAAGCCACCACAATGCCCCGGATGTATTACCTATAAGGTCTGAGGATATATATCCTGTAAATACAAATCACAAAATAATTTTAATCATTAATTGTCTTCTGGAAGCAAAGGCCACTGAACGGTTCGGATCATATAAGCAACATGTATTTATGAATCACTAACCAACAGCAACGATACAAGCTATTCGTGAGAGGTGAGCGTCCCTGGGACAATCCTCACAAACACATGCAAAGCCAAGTCAATTCCACATATGATAAATATAGGGAATTGCACAAGACACCACGTTTATCAATGATAGATTAAATTTAAGTTTCTAGAAAAAAACATTTTCCAAAATGTCTGCCTGTATTCTAATGAGATTGGATATTCAAAGCATACAGTCGTTATCACTTGTATTCTGTTCGGAACATGTTTTGGTGTTCGGTGATTTACGGCAAACATACAACCTTCACACTTGCCACGAGTTCATTTCATGCTTGAAATATACCACACATTCGCAACGCACGTGCCAAGATATGCGCACTTAGACCTGAACTTTCACAGTACTCTTTCAAAGATACAGCTGTTTACATCATATCATGTTTTCTGCAAACCATCAAAACGTCGTGTAATAAGTCTTTTAGAGACTTAATGAGAAGTAGGGCACTGACTGATATCTAAACAGGAAATAACATTTGGCTCTCATGTATATGCAGACCCCCAACGTACGAGCTGTTAGTAAAGCGTTCAGCTGAAAAGTTTCGTTCCAGCCTACTTTTCGCAAGGGCAAGGACAAAACCAAAACCCGTACCTAAATAAATATTCTTTGGAAAAAAATCACCTTTTCTATTTCATTTCACCTACAATTTTGAAAAATTGGATATTTTAAAGTAATTCCTGTTTCAAAACATACAGCACAAACCATTTATGAAGGTTTTTTCACAGTCAGACCTGCCGATTAAGTCACCCTGCCGATTGTTGCCATGCAGCTAAAAGTGATGATTTATAAATCTAATACGTATACAATGTATATATTACAGCTAATTAAACCATTATGATGACGTCATGCTATTGTTCTTGCAGTTACTTCTTGGCCAGGAATTAACTGGGCATTCTGAACATGCAAATTAAACACGGGAAAACTGCCGTTAATAGAAACCCATTATATACAATTAGAGATAAATCATGTTTCATCCATTACGTTGTTTAAAGCCCAAATATCGTAGATTCTATTAACGGAATCAAAAGGTTGTCATCATTTCTCAAACTATTGCTAAAAGTAATCAATGATATTGTTAAATATCTGCACTGGAAATTATAAGGAGTCGTGTTAACTCGCCTTCCGCAGTTACCGAGGTAACTGTATTTCTTTAGGCCTTGTCAGATTGATCGACAGATCAGAATTTACATAGTGTGTATAAAAATGAAACCAGAGGGCGCTCTCTTGCTCATCTTCCGGTGAACGGAAGTGGAACGCAGTTATGTTGACAAGGCCCAAATCTTCATGTTTCCTGATGGCATTCATCATCCGCCGGCACATAGATGCAAGAACTTTGTCGAAATTCAAATTAAATTTTCAAAATGTCAAAAGAGACATAGTTTCTGTTTTCTGGAAGCAAAAGAAGGCTTAAGGACTATCAGGATCCTTCACATCCATTCTACACGTTTCAAATGACAAGATGCCATGAAAAACCAACAATAAGCTATATACGCGTTTAAGAGTAGTAACAGTGTGCCTGTCTGGTTGGGTTTTCACACACATGTATCTTTTCTTCAAAAGCACTTTGAGTAAATTGTTTGAAAGTTTTACTGAAAGTTTCTGAAGTGTGGGTAAAAAAAACCCATGACGATTAAAGCCAACAGCAATGTCTGTTCATTCCGGCCTGCTTGAGGGTAAGGAGAAGCAGAAGAGCTCACATATGGCTTTTGTCGGCTCTTTCCGTAACAGAAAAAACACTGTCGGAACTGACCTGTTGATACTGCGATTATGATCTTTGGATTGTCCGCGCCATACCCGTGATTGAGACTTTCATTCGAGTGATGAACATCTGGGACATGCATCACCTCGGGTATTCGCCCCACACCAAACAGACACGAAGGGGAGATAACTGAAATACTGTTTAAGTGAGGGAGTGAATTTAGTCCTACGCCGCACTCAGCAATATTCCAGCTATATGGTGGCGGTCTGTAAATAATCGAGTCTGGACCAGACAATCCAGTGATCAACATCATGAACATTAATGTACACAATCGGGCTACGATGTGTCAACCAAGTCAGTGAGCCTGACCACCCGATCCCGTTTATCGCCATTTACGACATGGGTTACTGAAGACCAATTTTAATCCTGATCTTTTCGGGTCCAATTATTACAGACTACATTTACAGATCTAACAGAACGAGAAGAAGTAACACATGAAATCATTGTCACCAAAACATATTAAATATTTTCAAGGCGCGGCAATTTTAGAGCGATCGAGTATACATTCTATCGGATGTTCTTGCATTAATTCGTTGGTTCATAACAGCCCGAAAAGAAGTGCTGATTTCGATACCTGGTTTCAGTTGACGATTGCAATAGCTGGATTTTCTTTGCCATCGTTTTTATAAAACCTAGCTGAGTTCTGTTGTTTCTCAAAGCAAGTATTACATCGTGTCGTGCATCATCGATTATTTTATGAAGTTCTCTGATGGCAAACTTTAATCAAGATCCAAAAGATATTATTAATATCATCGCTAGAACAGTGCGAATGTAGAGTGAGTGAGTGAGTTGGGTTTAACGCCGCTTTTAGCAATATTCCCGCAATATCACGGCGGGGGGACACCACAAATGGGCTTCACACATGGTACCCATGTGGGGAATCGAACCCGGTCCTTCGGCATGACGAGCGAACGCTTTAACCACTAGGCTACCCCACCACCCCGCGAATGTAGAGGTTTTAATGTCAAGCAAGAGTTGGTATCAACGCCGCTTTAAACACTATTTCAACCTGTGAAGGTCCGGGTTAGAATATTGATCTTCGGTAACCCATGCCTATCGTAAGAGGCGACTAACGGGATCGGGTGGTCAGGCTCGCTGACTTGGTTGACACATGTCATCGGTTCCCAATTGCGCAGATCGATGCTCATGCTGTTAATCACTGGATTGTCTGGTCCAGACTCGAATATTTACAGACCGCCACCTATAGCTGGAATATTGCCGAGTGCGGCGTAAAACTAAATTCACGCTTAAACAACCAGCCATCCGTAATAATTGGAGAAAGTGATAGAATGTCCATTTACGGCGCAGTTGGTATCATCACGACTGGCTGAATATGATTACATCGGTACGAGGGGAAGCATGTGAGAACTGACAGAGGGTGAGATGAGAGCAGCGAAATGCATCATGCATCACAAGACACGCACCTGCTCTGTGTACCCACCTGTTATAGGGATACGTCCTTGACATTGAACTAATGCGGACTAAATCCGTTGCTCCATACACAGGCGTCAGTGGAGACACACATATACAGAACCATACCTACAAACGCTGCAATGGTAAAGGGTTGGGAAAAACACGTTAAGTTTTACAACGATGAGCACCAAACATGAATTAAACCCATTATTTAGCACTATCCTGGAGAAGGTTCTGCTAATTTGTTAATGGAGACTAATGGAGTAATTTAAAGAATTAAATACACATCTGTTGTATGAAACGTGCCGTTACACGGCCTCTTGAGAAGCCTACTACAGTGTTCGATTTATTAACGTGCAGGTATCGGAGATCTTAGTGCCACTCAGCTCGCCGATCCCGCTTAGGCTTTTGAGAAACAGCCGGTGATGTTCGCTCCGTGCATCTTATCGCCGGTCTGAAGCGATACCGTCGTCATTACTCGATATGACTGCGCGTGTTGACGAGCTCACTCGTTGCTGTGAAGAGCTTCGATCAGATTGATTTCTTTGATTTGCATGCGCATGCGCTTGTAAAACAGACGACAATGCGGTTCTACAGTTGGCAGTTGTGTTGCGTGTAACGGCAACGAGCAGACGACAGTGAACACAGTGTCTAAAAGGAATTTTAGAACACTTAGTAGTGTTGTATGAAGACGGGAGAAAGTAATTGCCATAAAATGGACGGTTGACAAGACAATACAATATTTCTTTTTGGATAAAAGATTAATGGATGTCGGCTGAACCAAATTGGAAATAATCATAGTCGACCCGAAGGTAGGGGAGAGTGTCACGCAATGCACATCTAACTGTTACGCTGAGAATATAGGGCGTTCGTGATCCGGTAATTCGTTATTCCATCCTGGCTCCTCGAGATTAGTTCTGCTGTTACGTTAGGACATGACCACAACTTAACATGGACATAGGATCGGACAGCTGGATCAAGGAGGACAAATGAGCTCTGAAAACCCATGTTTCACAATTCCAAGTTTGGTGAGTGTGTGTTTTTGTTTGGACGTCCGTAATCATTGCAAGAGACTAAAGCTAAGAAATGTGTCATTTGATCAACGAAAATGTCAATTTTGGATGCTACACACGGCCGTGAGCTCTTTATGAAGATCATTTAAGCTTGAGGCTGAAAACCTGCCACGCTGACGCGGAGGAGGATTGTCACAAAGTTTCAAAATATCATCGAACGTGAAACCCATGGTTTATATGCCAAGCAGAAGCCAAGGTTGCTGTCAGAAGCGATTATTATCTCAGTCCTGGAAGTAATTATGTTTCAATGACAACAGCATAAAGTGACAAATATATTTAACCAGACTCAGAATCGTGAAGTTGTAGTTTAGTTTTTATGTCACGTTTGTATGCTGAGTATGCTTTTTTGGGAGAATTGCGAAAATCTGTTCATACTCTGAAACAAAATAATCAGAAATAAAAATTCCACGACCAGATTGTTTTCCCAAGGAAATGCAAACCGTGCACCCTCACCTGGGCTGTGCCTGACGTTTGTGTCGGAACTATCATGGATTAACAGCTCTGAAAGAACGCAGGACACCGCGGGCTCCACAACTTGTACACATTCCCCCGACAGATGACTCTTAGAATTGAATGCAGCCCCACCAGAAGCGGGGAACATGCCTCGTCTAATTAAGGCAAACTGTTGCTGCGGAGGTTGGTGTTTAACTCTACTTTAGGTTCTGTAAAAGCAGTAATGCAATTATCCTCAGAAAAGACTCTCAGAGAACGAACGTTACTTAACATAAAATAGCATGAAGTATTTCAAAGTTCATCTGTACGTGTTTACCTTTCGAGAGTGATTGTATATCTAGCTGAGCTGTCATCCATAGTGATATTTATGGTGGTTATTAGTGAATTCAACAAGAATCCACTGATGTAGGAAGTAATACTACGAGTATATTCCCACTGCAGTACTAACTGTACCTCCAGGGCAAGGTATCCGAGGAAACAGTCAATGACGCCAGCCTACCTCTGCTCCTGGAACTTTCCACGTCTAAGACAGACTAATTATACGCAGTATATTATCAGAACAAATGTGAATGTTTTCTCAGCGTTGTTTGCAACGGTTTAGCCTATCTAGACTCTTGCTCAGTGTGCACTGGAGTGGTCTTTTACGGAACAGCTTATGAGTTTATGAGCACTTGACTGAGTAATAGGCAGAGCGCGGTATATTGGCACGCCTGTTACAAATGTGCGACGACGCATACAAACGATTCGTTAGTTAAAGATTTATTCTATTTCTAGCTCAGCTCATGAAGCGGCCAACTACCTTCATGGATGTGTACGAGTAATCAAGACAGTTTGGAATCAATAAGATTATTGGATTAAAATACCTATTTGGGTTTTCCAATGAATTATGAACGTAAATTGGGATTTTAGCAAACACGTAACACCAATGTCATTTTGAATTCTAAAATAGAATACAAGTTCTATAAATATCGGCGGATTCGTAATTTCGATTCCAAATTTAACAGAGTAAAGAATATGATAACGGTTATATCAAAGTAGCGCTTCGGAGGTAACCAATCACAAAGAATTATGTGTTAATGTGTCTGGAACTCTCAAGTCGTAATTACAGTTTCTGAAGCACCATGGCGACAGGAACTCCCCTTGGAGTCTGCATCTCTGTGTTATTGATATCGGCACTCTTGCTTTTGGGAATACACTCTTTTCCCGACGACGTGTATGACAGTAAGTACTCCACCAGGATCGACGGCGACATCAACCTCGGCGCCGTGTTTTCAATACACGCCTCAAAAGACGGCCGCTGCAGCGACAGTATATTTGGATTCAGGGCTATTGAATATTTCGAAGCTGTCAGGTTTGCAATTAGTGAAATTAACAACAGTTCTGACATCCTGTCAAACATCACGTTAGGAGCCACCATCTTGGACGATTGCTTTCTGGCCTCGATGGCCCTAGCTCGGGCGATGCAATTTATGCCGGAAGCTAACAGGCTACACGTCACGTGCAATGATTCGTTATGTGAAGACCGGAAACTACCGAAATTTTACGATGTTGTCGGAGTGTTGGGTGCATATACGAGTTCCTTAAGTATCGTCGTTGCCAACGTGATGACCTTGTTCAAAATACCCCAAATCAGTCATACGGCGACAAGCGATTTGTTAAGTGACAAAAAGAAGTTTCCGTACTTCCTCAGAATGGTTCCAGCAGATCAAAATCAAGTGAAAGTCATAGCGGACGTGCTGCAATACTTTAACTGGAGCTACGTCTCGGTGGTGTTTTCCGAAGGAAGCTACGGACAGGAGAGCGAGAAGAAGTTGAAACCGCTTCTACGCCAAATTGACATATGCGTGGCCCAGTCTATTGAACTACGAGACGGAATGTCTGAGGACGATTACGATGACGTGATAACGTCTTTAAGGAGATTCACAACCGCAAAGGTTGTCGTGTTGTACGCCGACATCAGGCATACGACATTCATTATGAAGGCCGTGAAAAGAACCAGTGCATCACGGGAGTTTATCTGGATCGGAAGTGATGGTTTATCCGTTGTGTTAAATGATCATTTGGATATGTGCAAGGACATAGTAGGCTCTCTGGCCGTACGGCCGTATTCATCAACGTTGCCGAGATTCATGACGTACATGAAAACTCATCTTCAAGCAAGAAAATTCACTAAGGAGGAACGTAAAAAACTGAAAAGTTTTGACCAGTGGTTTTGTTTTGAAGGAGATGAATCTGGTACTGAAGTGGACGAGATCTTGGATAATTCCACGATGGACCGTGTTGACTACATCCCCAAATTTGCTGCATCGTACGTAGTTGACGCAGTGTACGCCTTCGCAACTGCGCTGGATGCGTACATCAAAGATGCGTGTCCCACCGCTAGGGGTAAGGATGTACAAAAGTGTATAAACACTGAAACCCTTCTGCAATACGTTAAGAAAGTAGAATACGAGGGCTCCATTGGGAAGATATCGTTTGACCAAAATGGTGACGTAGTTGGAAAGCTGGATGTTCGTCAGTGCCAAGTTGTCGACGGTGTTCCACTTCATCAGAATGTAGGTATGTGGGATATGAGAACCGCCATGTTGAACATAAACGAAACCTTTCTTCAGTGGCCAAGGTTCACAAACGGAAGTGAAGGCTTACCCCACTCAGTGTGCGCAGAACCGTGCAGTGTTGGTGAAATAGCAACGTTCCCCAGAGAGAATTGTTGCTGGACATGTGTCATCTGCAAAGACAACGAGGTTACATCCTCAAACTCAACACAGTGTCAAGCATGTGACGAGTTTTTCTGGCCGGATAATCAAACCCGAAAGTCGTGCCTTCCACTAGATCCAACGTATGTCAGAATGAGCGATCCAATTGCAATCGTCCTCTTCTTTTTCACCCTCGTCGGACTCTCCATCACCACTTTCGTCATTCTGTTCTTCCACAACTTCCGGAAGGAGCGCATCATCCGGTCGTCAAGCCGTGAGCTATCCCAGATGATGCTAGTGGGGATCTGTGCCGCCTACCTCCTCGTATTCGGCTTTCTGACGTTCCCAAACAACTTTTCATGTTACGTCAACAACGTTGGCTTCAGTCTGACCTTCACCTTGGTCTACGTACCGCTGTTGGTGAAGACCAATAGAATCTACCGGATCTTCAGAGCGGGAAAGAAAACGACTGTTCTCCCACGCTGCACGAGCTCTTCGTCCCAGGTTGTCATAGTAACCGGCTTATTAACCTTTCAGGTAGGTAAACAGTTATAGCATGTTTCTTCCGCCAATGGCAATTTCTGGTTTTAATTACCGACGCCATAAATCCTGTTCTGATAATAACTCGTATGTAATTATCTTCATTGGAAGCATGAGCAGTAGTTCTTGACTTAAAGAATATACGCTTTCTACCACGTGTTTTCATTCATGTTTAACTATTCCGTACCAGGTTTATGGCAATGGGATATTTTGATGAACTCGATTTTTAATTTATGTATAATCTATGTAGTCTTCAAAGTGATGTTATCAGGCCGAAGAGATTGCGTGTATTCATTTTTATATAACCATTTTTATATCCCGGGTTTGTGTGTGGACATATTTTAAGTATATTTATATAACAGAGTGTAAACGTACTTGGATGGAAAATGCATGATTGTGTGCGCGTGCGTGTGCGTGTGCGTGTGAGTGACATACATGCGTGTGAGACATATGTGTGTGCGTGTGTATTGTTTCCAAAACTGGTTCAGTGTGATCCGTCTTCCTTTCGGCTAAATGCTAATATTCTTTCAATGGGAACTGATCCTGCCGATGTGGAGATGTTTACGAAATACCTGTTTAGATGTGATCAACACTGAAGTTACTGTTACATGGCCTATGCACGATGGAAGTACAGGACGATATGTCAATAAAATGCACATGTCATAGTTAACAGAATCCTCTTACGATGGTAAACATAATGCTCTTATGATCGCTTACAAAATGTTCTTATGAATCATAAGACTGACTGACTGACTGAGTTTGGTTTTACGCCGCTTTTAGCAATATTCCAGCAATATCACGGCGGGGGACACCTGAAAATGGGCTTCACTCATTGTACCCATGTGGGGATTCGAACCCGGGTCTTCGGCGTGACGAGCCAACGCTTTAACCACTAGACTACCCCACCGCCCCTATGAATCATAAGAACGTTCTATTATCTATCATAACTTATGATAGATAACAATATGTTCTTATGATCGCAAACTGAATGCTTGAGAGTTAAGGCTTCTGTCGGAGAGTCGAAAGAAAATAGTAATAAAATGTATGGTACAACATTGTTTTAATCAACTTAGAGTTTGATTTTGAAATGTGTGTAAACTAAAGTCAGCTATGGGTACAAATTATCAATCTTTTAACTTCATAGGAGAATACTGTTTCAGTCATTTCAAAATGCCTTGATTTTTATCAAAAAACGCGATCTTTACTGTACTGCCATTCTGATATGTTTCTTTCTGAATTCTTTCGTCGGAGCCGTAACTCAAGCAAACGAATGTAGGACCATTAACGCCTAACATCTTGCAAGTCGACGTCAACTCACACACATTATACCTAACAAAGTAGTTTGACTTAAATTATTTATGAGAAACTTCCCAACTAACATTTCTCTGTATAAATGGAGTTGTCATCATTAGGGACGTGTTGGTCAAGCACTTAGAACGGGTTCGTGACAGAGAGTAGTTATGACTGTAATGACCTCGGCTGATAGTCCTATTATTTTTCAAATTAACAAAAAGGAATGCTGACGTGACCAAACACAATTTATTTCCTCTTCATACAATATATTCATCGGTTGCTGTGATATTACTGCAATCCCCATGGCAACCTGCACGCGTCTCCTGTAATATGACTGTAACTGAGTGTAGCGCAGTCAACTGACGCCATGATGCATCGGCGATGTCGTCACAATTCATGAATGAGAACGTCTTGACCCATGTCAAGCTCATATAAGAAGACTGTTTCAATTCCTTTGGGGACGTCTAACCTGTTCCAGACTCTTCTGTGGGACAGTTCTAGACACAAAATCAATTTTCGTGTCAAATTTATGATCATAGTAATTGCCAATCACTTTATTGTCTGCCATTTTGGCTAATAAGCGATGTCCCATTGCATTATTTCAGAATTAATTACTAACATAAGATGTGGCATCTGTTCTCCAGCATACAGACTGAATTACTTTGTCCAGATAAAATGTCACTGTCGCTGTTGGAGAATTTACTGTCATGCAATGAAACGGATTTGGGCAATATTTGTTAGGACATCTTTTGTGGGACGCGACTTCCTAATGGTAATTTTTACCTCAGTGTATATAAATACGTTCTCGGGCAACGATAAATATACAGCCGTGTTTGGTTTACCATTTAGACCAAAGAAATGGTTATTCGGTGGTGATGAATTTGAGGCGGGCATTATAACAGTGTTTGGGAAAACGTATTTGCTGTGTTTCCGTCACTGTTTTCAGTCTGGTAATGTATTCCAATTATCATGGGTATGCATTATATGTATTTTCCCGTTACCTTGTTAACCCACAGGTGGGCTTAATACAAATTGTACAGGTGAGTTGATTTCCTACATGATATAAAGGGTGAAGCATATGGGTAATTGCAGGGCCGACAAAATCTGCTTTTGAACATGTTTCATAATTTTCATACCAATATTTTTGTTTTATTTCATTTTCAATTTGACATTTGCAGTGTCCAAAATTGTCTCAGTTCCCCGTTTTTCACATTATGACACAGTACCGTTCTTGAATCGGACATTTTCAATTAAAGGTATATTCCCGAAGTAACAGGTGTCAGAAAGCATAAAATAAAACAAAAAAAACGTATAGAGATAAATTTAACAGATTGAATAGGTAGATTTGTGTGGATTTTTAACGTTCTTGAATCATACATTTTCAATTAAAGGTATATTCGCGAAGTAAGACTGACTGACTGAGTTTGATTTTACGCCGCTTTTAGCAATATTCCAGCAACATCACGGCGGGGGACACCAGAAATGGGCTTCACACATTGTACCCATGTGGGGATTCGAACCCGGGTCTTCGGCATGACGAGCCAATCGCGAAGTAAGAAGTTTTAGACGGAGCACAAAATGAATGAAAAATACAGAGATAAAATTTAGCACATTTTCTTGAATGGGTCAGGAACTGTGAAACAGCCTGAGGTCGGTCGCCGCAAAAACTTGAACATATCATTGAGGCGAAACAGGCTGATGTTGACCTTTTCTCTAGACTAACAACTGGTCTCTGAAATGAACATATTTTACAGAAAAAAAGCTCACAGTAAAAAAAAAATATAATGATAAGGAGCCCTGAGTCTTTCATCATTTTCAGAAGCTGTGGAAATCTAGACTTGCCACATTTTCTAGACTTGCGTGGGCTTTCTTTGATATATTTGCTTCAGGGTCTATATGACAGACTATCCTTTTTTCATGCATGGAGACACCATTTAGTACCTAACCTAGACTCGATTGTTCACAGACTGCAATGATCTAGGTGCAATACCAGCCGACTCAAAAGCAACATACGTTCGTTCACTCAGTTTGTTATAATATCATTTGGATCAAACACAGGACAAATACTATTTCAACCAAGACTTCTGTTTGAAGGGGGGCAGGTGTGTCCTCTTCATCTAAAGCACTGGTATTCCTTCTACAGAGTTCCGTCCCTTGGGTCCGCCAGAAACTGTGAGTGTTGGTTCGAGTCCCAGTTCGCTACGATTATTATACTTGGTTTGCTGTCTCATGGTTTCAGCATAGTTTCAAAACGTCCAAGGATCACTTCGGGATTTCTCCCACATTAAACTAACATGAATAATATAGCAGGATTACTGTTCAAAGACCTGTTAAACGTAACTAACTACTCTATTTCAATCATGATAGTAGAGAGTGTTTCAAACATATATAAAAAAGAACTCACTCATTTCATACCCTCACACTCAGATCCAACTGTACTCTGTCTCGCAGTCCCTGAACCACATTATTTCCCCTAATGCCTAGCCCTACATGCAATGTAGTCTGTCTCGCAGTCCCTGAACCACATTATTTTCCCTAATGCCTAGCCCTCCATGCAATGTAGTGTGTCTCGCAGTCCCCGAACCACATTATTTTCCCTAATGCCTAGCCCTCCATGCAATGTAGTGTGTCTCGCAGTCCCTGAACCACATTATTTTCCCTAATGCCTAGCCCTCCATGCAATGTAGTGTGTCTCGCAGTCCCTGAACCACATTATTTCCCCTAATGCCTAGCCCTCCATGCAATGTAGTTGTGTCTCTGAACGCAGTCCCCTGAACCACATTATTTTCCCTAATGCCTGCCCTCCATGCAATGTAGTGTGTCTCGCAGTCCCTGAACCACATTATTTTCCCTAATGCCTAGCCCTCCATGCAATGTAGTGTGTCTCGCAGTCCCTGAACCACATTATTTTCCCTAATGCCTAGCCCTCCCCTGCAATGTAGTGTGTCTCGCAGTCCCTGAACCACATTATTTTCCCTTGAACCACATAATGCCTAGCCCTCCATGCAATGTAGTGTGTCTCGCAGTCCCTGAACCACATTATTTTCCCTAATGCCTAGCCCTACATGCAATGTCCTGAGTGTGTCTCCATGCAGTCCCTGAACCACATTATTTTCCCTCGCAGTCCCTGAACCACATTATTTCCCCTAATGCCTAGCCCTCCATGCAATGTAGTCTGTCTCGCAGTCCCTGAACCACATTATTTCCTAATGCCTAGCCCTACATGCAATGTAGTCTGTCTCGCAGTCCCTGAACCACATTATTTCCCCTAATGCCTAGCCCTCCATGCAATGTAGTGTGTCTCGCAGTCCCCGAACCACATTATTTTCCCTAATGCCTAGCCCTCCATGCAATGTAGTCTGTCTCGCAGTCCCTGAACCACATTATTTTCCTAATGCCTAGCCCTACCATGCAATGTAGTGTGTCTCTAGTCAGTCCCCTGAACCACATTATTTTCCCTAATGCCTGGCCCTCCATGCAATGTAGTCTGTCTCACAGTCCCCTGAACCACATTATTTTCCCTAATGCCTAGCCCTCCATGCAATGTAGTGTGTCTCGCAGTCCCTGAACCACATTATTTTCCCTAATGCCTAGCCCTCCATGCAATGTAGTCTGTCTCGCAGTCCCTGAACCACATTATTTTCCCTAATGCCTAGCCCTCCATGCAATGTAGTCTGTCTCGCAGTCCCTGAACCACATTATTT